AATGAAGAAATACACAAAAACCTGGAACTCACCAAGTTTGCTACGTGTTGAGTCCGAATCGGCTAACTTCATATTTACAATTTTTGCAGGTAAGCATATGATAAGGAAGCGATGCATAATTTCTCTGATAAAGTAAATACACGTAGGGTAAATAAACGTAGGGGGCAATTAGAAAAAAGCTAATCTTTGCCCTGCTACTCACTTTGAAATTTATGTATTTACTAGCAGCAATACCCAGCATTGCCCGATTTCTTGTACAAAGAATTAATTAACTTTTTTAATGTTATTATCAATTCATGTTATTAAAACATAAGAATTTATTTAGAAAATTCGTAGCTCAGTCACGATTCATCGAATCTACTTCAGAATGTCAGGAAATACTCTGTTTTATCCGCTCATCCTCATTCTGCACTTAAAATCAATAAAAGGTATTCTCTTAGTTTCGTAGATCTTTCTAAAAACCAAGGTATTTTCTGTTGGTTTTTTCAACGTTTATTCAGCTTTGCAGTATGCCTTAAATAAAATAGAGTATTTCCTGACATTCTGAAGTAGATTCGATGAATCGTGACTGAGCTACGAATTTTCTAATTTTTGCTGGGAAAAGGCAAAAATGGGTTATTCCACTTACGAGGGAACCTATGGAGATGAAGCACTCCGATTTCGCTCGTTCTTGCGTGGATCGATAGGGCATGTGGAGTGGGTAAAACGCCTAAGAGAGTTCGAGCGGAGACTTTTCGCTTGGGGAGTTATGGGCATTTTACGCATTTTCTCACGTCAGCGCAAAACAGGCAAAATTAAAAAAATCACAACTCTGTCCTGGAACGTCGTAGAGGGCTGAAAGTTTTTTGGTGGTGAGGATAAAGGTTGTCTTCATATCCTGCAAGTTTCAGAGTTCTATCACTTTCTCTCATTCAGAGGCAGAACTAACTTTTCAGCAAGGCAAGGAAACGCAGTACGAAAGAGTGCGTGGTGCTATCTTTTTCTTAATGTCACGATGACATGTTTGAATTACTTTATTCTCGTCGGTAGTGGTGTGCTTAGTGTGCAGGGAGAGAGCTTTGTTCACGTTCCTTATTGACTCTCTCTGACAGAAAGAGAGAGAAAAAGGAAGGGGTCTGTTATGACCTTTAAGGTCATAAAGGTCATAGGTTATCCCTCCTCCCACCTTATACATATCTTTTCTCCCTTTCTTCCTTCACTGGACATGACGTCATGATCTCTCTCTTCTCTTCCTATTATTGAACATGACGTCATGATGATATCTCTCTTGATGTTCTGGAACCTTCGAGTAGGTTCTCACTCTCCCTCTGACTCATATATATATACATACCTGCCCTGTTCTCGTTACATTCATTCATTCAGTTCAGTTGCTGTTCAGTTGGAGTTCAGTTGTTCCAGTTATTGTTATTGTTTCTCTTTCTCCACCAAGTGGTGGTGCGCTACGTTTGGAAATAAAGGACGTGAGAATAGATCTCACAGGATTTTCTTCAAAGTTTTCCTCCGATCATTTACTACCATCTACAATCAAAGTCACATCACTATGATCAACCCACACAACGTAGGACGACTGCTCTCAAGCTACATCAGTAAACTCCCACCTGTCAGTCAATACAAGTTAGGCTTTGGTGCCCGTGATGAGGACGTCGCAAAAATCGAAGAAGAAAGTTCAAAAACTGCTACCTAAATTCAAGCTAGACAATGTCGTCAATACTGATCAGTCAGGATTACAACTCGAGATGTATTCTAACAGAACTTTGTCATTTGAAGGAGAGAAATTAACAGATTTAGAGAAAACTTTTTACAAACCGAGAAAATTTATTTGACGGAGCTAACGTGAGAGAAGCAGAATCCAGAAAAATTCGTTTTTACGAACTTTCATTTATCATGAAAGTGTCTAGATATATTTTCAAACAAAGTGACAGTGAATAGACAAACTTTCACAATTTGTGAAACTATGAGTCATTCTTCCTTTTGGGATGTGTATGAGGCGTTATATTTTACTAGAGCCTTGAACAAGAGAAAAAGAAATGTCAAAGTTAGAAGCTAGAAAACAAAGCATAACATTTATAATTACTGTTACATTTTTCTGGATTCTGCTTCTCTCACGTTAGCTCCGTCAAATAAATTTTCTCGGTTTGTAAAAAGTTTTCTCTAAATCGTTCGAATGTCTACTACTACCACGCCATCTCCTACATCAATGGCACAGCAAGTCACTTCTCCATCTCCACAAACGAGTTTTTCGGTTCATTCTACTTTAACAAACCATCCAGCAGTTGAAAGAAAAAGAAGCTCAAATCTATGATTTATGTTCAAAATTTAACTAAAAGATCACGTTTGCAGACTGAAAAGTTGACTGAAATTTGTCTTTATGTTAACTCCGGAGAAGATAAAAAGCATGAGATGTGAGACAATGATAATGTACCCATAGGCAAGCAGAAAGAAAATATCAGGTGGTTATCAGAATGTCTAAAGAAAGCATTTTTTAAAACAAATTTTGTGAAATCTGTAATTTCTTTGTCGTTTGCTTGCTTCTCTTTGCCTCACATGAAACTTTCATTTATTTCTTTAAGACCCACCCCCCACCCAAAAATCCATTTCCGCTTACGAGCATCTGATCTTAATGAAACTTTCAGAGATGGTGTATCTAGGTATAATGACCTCACAGTAAAAATTTCAGCTCGAAATATTAAACCTATCAAGAGCTAGCTCACAATTAAGCTCCAAAAATGGGTCTTCGTCCGTCCCAGATTTCTCTGCCATTTTTAACGTTAGAGAGCTCGGGTTGGTTTTAAAATGTAACTAAGATGTAGGGCTACAACCTAACAGAGGCCGATTTTTTAATTTCTTTGTAGTTCATTTTTTATAGAACTGTTACGTCACGATATGAAATTATTGGGGTGTAGGATCTCAAACGTTTTCTCTTCATCTGACGTCAATTCTGAAATCGAAGAATCGGGCTCTCTTAAGTCGTAGTCTCAGACTTTAGCTATGGTTTAAAACAAACCCGAGCTTTCTAGCTCCCGAAATGGCGGAGAAATCTGGGATGCACGAAAACGTAGAAGTAAAAAATCTCATTTTGAGAAAAACGCAAAATACTTTTTACAACTGTATTTCATAACTATTCATTGAGTAATAATGTTTTTTATCATCTTAAATAATCGAAGACACTTTGATTTTACTATAGCTGAAATATTACGACAAAATTTTATTAGCGAGCTCATCTAATTGACCTTAGAAATCAGAAATAAAAAACTAATATGTGGTTAATGAGTGTTATGGTAATAAAGTAACTAGTATTTTTCAAATCTGCGATAACGGTGATCATATCTCGGTAATTAATCATCACCACCTGCTTCATATGTATCAGTAATATCATCATCCGATTGTTCTAACACAATACCATCGAGTTCCAATGCAATATCGTTTACACTGAAATCCAAGTTTTCTTCGTTTAGGGCATATGTAATTTCATTATCAGTTTCAGTTGAAGCAGTGCTTGCGGCAACAGTTGTTGTTGCTTTTGCACGTTGTGAATGCTTGTTTTTAGTTTTCGAAGTACGAGAATTTCTTAAGACATCAAGTCTGCGAAGACATTCAGTGAAATAATAGCCCACAGACAAGAATATGCTTTTAAATATTTTATTCAATACTTCGTATCCTTCGTTATAAATAATAGTAGATAATCCCAATCCAATACGAAGCGTGGTTGATGAACAATAGCGGTGTTTTGGAACCATAGTCCATAATAACGAATGGTAGGCCTCGTTAGCATTTTGTGATCCACCGCCCACAACACGAGCTAAACTAGTTTGAGAACAAAGTTCATCGAAAACCGGTCGTATTATATCCAAGCATGCTCGTGGAATAGATGTTTTGGAATTCACAAAGTTTTGATCAACTGATTTAGCTTGAAGATACTTACACTATTTCGCATCGCACCAATTATGCATTGGTTCTTCATTTGTTGAGTAATGATGATTGAATATCGCCCATGTACTTCGAATTCTGTTTTTAGATCAAGACAAATGCAATGTAAGCGTAGGGAATAAATATAAAAGAAAAATAAATGTATATCTCGCTACGTGGCAGAATGAAACTCAAGATAACATTCCGTACAATAGAAAGAATATGTTTTATCGTTGCAGATTGAAATGTGCAAAAAAATTGAATTCTTGGAAAGATGTCGTTTTTCTTGAATAGAGGTTTTTCAGAAAAATCTCTGTAAAACCGTTAAAACCCATCGTAAACAGAATAAATTATAGTGCATTCGATAGCGCAAGTGATGCTCTATCACATGTACTATCAAACAAAAAATAGAAAATTTTGACGAAAGTTGACCTTTTTTGGGTTGGGGGTGGGCCTTAATGTGTCTTACGAATAGACGAAAGGAAAAAAGAAACAAATATGAAATGAATGAAAGTGACACTTTCGCCTTAACATTTTTCGTTCGTGAGAACACATATCTTGCTATGTATCAAGCGTATCAATGAAAGAAAACTAGTATCATAGAAAAAGGGGAAGGTCATTTTTCAATAAAATGCTTATTTTTTATTCAAATAAAGTGAAAATTTTTTTACATAGGCAAAAACTGATGATGAATCTAATGGGTATACTTTTGAGATCTCTAGAGGGTCTTCCAGGGTTCTCTGGAAAACTTTTCTCCAAAAACCATAGTTTTTTGTTCTAATCAGGATTTAATCATTTTTAATGCAGAAACTGATGAATGTTCATGCTTGGCTATATAATATAAACGCATACATGCAGAATAAAAGTGTTCAAACACGGAATATCCACCAGCTACACCTACATGCTCTTTTCTCGGATGATCATACAAATTCGCCAAATGCATACGTATTTCATCCTCACTTTGTATGGCATCGTATTTTTCAAACTGATCTTTATTGTCGAAACAATACACCAAAAAACGTTCGTGGAAACCACCGACCTGCAAATTAGCGGAATAGTACTGCAGCACCTCTGGCCAAAATACCCCACACCATCAAATCCTTCAATACTCAACATTTGATTGACATCTCGGCTAATGGAATTAAAGTCAAACATTTTCAGTTCTGCCATCGCAGCATCTACACATAAAAAAGTCGCTTGAAAAATATAATACAGGGAGCCAAGCTTTAAACTACACTATTTACCACCCTCATGACTCAACAAACAAATTGATCGATGTTGAAATATAGCAACCATTTCAACAATTGTCAATAACTGGTCGACTTTGAAAGGCGGTGCTTCCTTTTTTTCCGATCTCCGAGTTTCATCAACAATATCATCATCCATATTCCCACTCACCACTAGGTGCCATCAACATTGTAAATAAATTCGTTGTTTGATACTCGTTCTCAAACGAAGCATACACTTTGCTAGCACCGCCATAGTGTGGTATCACACCCAGGACCGACATCAGCATAACCATTGGATTAATCTTCTCCATTCTTTCGTAATTTTTCAAAAAATGATACAACGGACTATCCACACTGAGCGATAACAGCATCATCACTTATTCTGACATATTGCGCAAAATTTCGCTCATGCAAGGCATTTGCCTCTTGAATGCTCATAAGCGTATTAACTTTTCCAGTCATCAGCCAAAATATATCATAGAACACATTAAACTACTGAAATATTCCTCATACGATAACAAGAATAAAACAAGTTTAACCATAAAGCTTCTTTTCGATCAAAATCACCTGCACAGAAAATGGCCATATAAAAACGCGTTTCGCCCTCAACTTAAGTATACTAGATAGACTACATTCACTATCAGATGTAACACAAACCGATAAAACTTTAGACTGAATACAAAGATACACGGATATATGCACATGTAATAGAAGAACATTTTCTTGTGCTTTTTGTTACTTCTACTTTAAGAAATTTTATCCAGGGTTGTTTTATCTTTTCTTCCATTAGAACTGCGACAAATAACGATTTTCTTTTCTATTTTCTTTTCTATTTTCTTTTCTTATTCACGTTATGTATAGTGTGTACGAACCACAGTGGGCATTTTTTGCTAGAGCAAGCGGACTTTAGCTTTATGAGTGAACTAAAATTTCATGAACCATCTTTTTATAGGTTTTTCATGATCCTCTTTCTAATGGCATGAGAGTTGGGTTTTAA